TACAGGGTGTCTTAAAAAAGTGTATACACATTTTGAATAATTGTGAACTTTGTATTCATTATAATTTTATTATTTAAAAGTGTAAAACTCTTAATAAGCATCGTTTCATTGTTTTCTAACTGTACGATCTCAAACTGACATCCATTTAATCCAGACACTGTTGACAATGCGAAGCAATGGAATCGCACACACCATAAAGCAATTGCATTTGTATTTGGACGCATTCATTTTCAATGGCTTCTCCCTTTATCAATTATCTAAAATATAGTAAAAGTTCAGTGTATTAACAATACAATGATACTTCTGTATACTTTTGCATCTTTGGAATTATAAAATTTTAATAAACCTCAAAGTTACAATTGTTCAAAATGTGTACACATTTTTTGGGACACCCTGTATTTGAAGGAACATTTAGATTGTGGGCGCCGGATTCGCGATCATTCACGTAGGATGGGAGCAGATTTCTGTAAGTCGTGAAAAAAGCCCTTACTAGTTAACTGGTTAACCTGGCGGCTTCTAGGACCCGCAGTGGTATAACGAACCTAAATAAATTCTCTACCTCGCTTTGTGTCAATAATGATGGCTATCCGAATGCTATGCATATGGCGTTAATCGATGACTCAGAGAATACTAACCTTTGATCCAGTTTTTTTATCTCTATATACTACCTCTTGATGTGGAAGTACACCAACATATTTTCACACCTATAGGTACAATTAGCGCGATACCGTTCACAACAGACACGGAATGAAAACCCTGAAGAAGCTACAGACCACTAAAACACCTGGGCCAGTAGCATGATTATAGATGTTCTGAACTAATTTGTAGGCCAACTGGCGCACCGTAGCCAAAGATATTCGAAAGTTCGATGGAGGCGGGGCTCTGCCTACCAACGGAAAGCTAGCCAAAATAACTCAATAAATTTGATATTTAAGGCGCAGGGGGGCTCTTCATTACAATTGCTGCTGTGTAAGAGCAAGTATATAAACGGCAGAAATGATTAGTATGACAGGCAGATTTTTTTCACATCCGCCAACGATTCGTCATTTTAAACTCGTAATAAAAGATCTTCAAAAAATATGGTGAAACTTTTCTACGATGAACTCAAGAACAGAGTTCAGCGAGCCCCCACGTTCAAAATAATGTAGGAGAAAAAACTTTCCGTAAAAATTAATACATAAACTGATAGGAATGTTATGATGCAGTTATTCAGGTCCATGACGTTGATGATAATATGTTAGTGCTCAGAATGCTCCTTGTCGGGCGAGATATCATATAATAGTTAGGGCTACTGTTGACCACCGTATCAATATCGACTGGCTAAGGGAAGGGACAGGATGAGCTCATCGCGCACAACAGGGCCGAAACGAAGAACGGACAGCAGATGTCACGATAAATACTGGAGATAATAAATAGTTTAAGTCGTAAAGACAATGGAGACTGGAATGACAGTTTGTGGTTCACTATCAACTGTGCGGCTATTGATGCAGCAGGAAAGTAAGGTCAAGGTAGAACTGAACGAGTGGGTCTAGGTTAGCTGAGGTGACGCATATAGACAGAAACTCTTGAAGCCGTTCACCGAATATTGTTGCAGAACCAATTAATAAGGCCGGCTGCGGTGGGCGCCCGTCAAAATCCTTTGAGTAACACACAAATAATCGTGTCTGTGACGCTAGGACTAGACGCTTTGATGTGAGGCAGTTCTACTTGTTTACAAGACTGAATTATAAATTAGCATAACTGCCCCGTTTCAAAGCGCCCAGTTTTAACGTTCCAAATACGATTAGTTAAGTTTGACTTAAGCGGATGAGGTGATTTGTGAATGCATTCTCATTGTAATTTACGTGTTAACGTGCATATGAGGAGACTGGAATGACAGTTTGTGGTTCACTATCTGCTGGGTGGCTCTTAATGCAGTTGGAAAGAAAGGTCAAGTTAGAACTAAACGAGTGAGTCGCGTTAATGGTCGCCGAGAATCATCGGCCAATGACAGTAATTTATATCTACACCGGCAAGCCAACGAGCTCGTGGCGTAGTGTGCTAGAGCGTTGGAATTCTACTGAATAAGTCATGGGTTCGAGCCTCTCCTGGAGCACCACATGGGGTTGGGTATGGCGACTGATGATGGTTAATGAACCATAAATGGTCATTGCAGTCTCCATTGTATTTATCAGTAATCTTCTTTTGTGTATTGCAGCGGGTAAATTTCGTGACAGCTTATTAACTGCAACCCGTAGCTCCATAACCTAGATAACGAATAGTAAGCACACAACAAGTTCACGTTGCATAGAAAAGCAATGCATAACAATGCATTCATTGTTGACTGCACAGAGAATAATCAGTGTAAATGATCACCTAAAACCGAAATATCTGAAAGAAAAGGCCGGTTCACTTAGGCGCAAACAGGTTGATACGTGAATCTAAAGCCTGAAGAGTACCAAGGCAAATTGTGGTTGACCAGGTTGTCTACCTGTCGGCACAGGTCAGATATCTTCTACCATATGAAGGTTGCTTCCACAAAACGCAAGGTCTGACTTATTCCTGATATTTTCTGCAGTTAGAGACGCGCAACTATAATGCCTGTGATTCGACCATGTTTTCCGAATCC